GGGCGTCTGGTTACGAGCCGCCCTCGCTGCCCACCACCCGCCTCCCACTGCAGCCTCACCTCTCTGGTTGATGGGGTCCTTGGCCACATAAGCCACATAATCCGCCATGTCCTGGGAGAGAGGGGGGAGGAGTCGGCTCCACCTGCCTGGCCGCCCCTCCCAGGGCTCCCGCCACCCGCCCCAGCGATGCACTCCGTGGGCAGGGCCTGGGCAAGGGCCGCACCCTCCCGTCCTGGGCCTTACCGTGTCGCCGCCAGACGCGAAGGAGATGGACTGCATGTGGTGGTTGGCGATGGTCTGCGGCCAGCAGGGGACACAGGGTCACCAGGAGCACCCGGCCCACGGCTAGGCCAGTGCCCAGGGAGGGATGAGGGCAGGGGTGTGCGGGGGTTGTTCCCCAGCTGACACCCATGCAGTGGGTCCTGGGTCCACCCAGGCAACCAGAAGTCCCCTGTGAGGACAGGACTCAGGGCCAAGGGGTGTTCAAGTCCTGGCTGTCACACAGACACGTGTGAGAGAACAAGCACACCCTCAGTGGGAAACACCCTCACACACACAGACAGACACAGACACACACATACACACAGACACACCGGATACCCAGAGGGGGCCCACCCACATGCCTGACGCCAACAGCACCTGTGTACATGTTAGCATGCTCATCTGCATGGCCCCTCCTCATCACGCTTATCTGCATGGCCCCGCCTCCTTATTAGCGCATTCTCTGCATGGCCCCCTCCTCATAGGTACATTCAACTGCATGGTCCTTCGTCATCGGCATGTTCATCTGCATGGTCCCTCCTCATCAGCATGCTAATATGCACGGCCCTTCATCAGCACGCTTATCTGCATGACCCCTCATAAGCATGCTCATTTGCATAGCCCCTCCTCATAAGCATGATCATCTGCATGGCCCCTCCTCGTTATCACACTCATCTGCATGTCCTTTCCTCATATGCACACTCATCTCCTTGTCCTTCCTCATTACCATGATTATCTGCATGGCCCCTCCTCATCAGCACACTCATCTGCATGTCCTTTCCTCATATGCACGCTCATCTCCTTGTCCATCCTCATCAGCATATTCATCTGCATGCCCCCTCCTCCTCATTAGCATGACCATCTGCATGGCCTCGCCTCCTCATCAGCATGATCATCTGTATGGTCCATCCTTATTAGCATGCTCATCTGCATGGCCTCTCCTCACCAGCACACTCATCTGCATAGCCTCTCCTCCTCATTAGCATGATCATCTGCATGGTCCCTCCTCATCAGCTTACTCATTTGTATGGTCCGTCCTCATCAGCATGCTCATCTGCATGGCCCTGCCTCATCAGCATGTTCATTTGCATAGCCCCTCCTCATAAGCATGCTCATCTGCAGACCCTCATTTCCCACCTGTCATTAGAGCCCACCAGCCTGCCCACCCTGGACTTCATGTCCTCCCCCCCAGCCGTCCTTGGCTGCCCCATGGGGATCTTCTGGCTCCCCCCTGTCAGACTCCCACCAGTGAGGAGAGTCCTCTGGGAACCACAGGGTCCTGTCTGCACATCAGGGGTCAATGTGAAGATGGTGCCCCTCATGCTGCCTGTGTACCCACAACCAGACTTGGACGCTCTGGTCTCCATGTGGCTGTGCAGTCCTGGACACCACAGGCTCACACACTCAGGCCAGCAGGCTCCCCACCAGGGACCTGGCCACCCTTTGAGCATCCCGCCTCAGTTACCCCTGGACTTCCCCAGGACTCACTTTCCTCAACTCTTCATGCAGAGGCAGCATCACCACCTCCAGGGACCCCTCCAGGATGTCCCTTCTAGGTCAAAGAGCCGTGGGTGCTCAGGACAACCCTTCCATGTCAAGGTGTGTGCAAGGTGCAGCTCCCACCAACCTCCCGCGTCCCCACTCATCTCCAAGAGCGTGGGGCAGCTCTCGGCTGGAGCTAACCCACCGGCCCCACCATGCCCAGGGCTGCAGCCCACCCACCACCCGCTCCTGTGGTCATCTGCCCTCTTGGCCCAGTTTTCACCCCAGAAAGCCAGCCCTGGCCACGAGGCAGCGGACACCTCCCCTGCAGGGCCGAGAAGGTTCCCAACAGTGAGGTGAGCATCGGGGCTGGGCCTGAGGGGCCACATGCCACTGTGCGTGCACTGTGCAGAGCTGGGCCGGTGAAGGAGAGAGGCACACAGAGCAGGCAAGACTGCCAAGCCCCGCGACCTGCCCACTCTGCTGCCCAGACATGCACAAGCCAGGTAAGCCCAGCAGCAGGGCGGTCAACGGCGTGGTGAAGGTGGCTGGATCTCCCACATGGCCAACTGCACAGTTCAAGTCCTGGACACGGTGGCTTGAGAAACATTGGGTATACGTGATGCGTGTCCCAAAAAATGGAAGAGAAGGGGCCATGGTGTGACCCTCCCCATCTCCCGTTCTCTCCTCTAGTGACTGCATGTGCCCTCCTGGCGAAAAAGAAAAAACATGTCCAGCAGCACCGGCCACCTGGTCCCGTGCTGTGACTGCCCTTCCATTACGCGCCCTTGCTGGCTGATACACTCCAGCCCAGGTCTCTTTTGAATCCCAGCTAGAAAGCCAAGTGGGTGGAGATGAGAAATCTGTGTCCCAGGAGAACCAGCAGCTTCTGCCAGAAACCCAGCCACATTGAAAACTCCACCCAGCCTTGGGGCTGCCGCTCAAGTTTTCCCAAGCAGAGGCCACCTCTCCCAGGACCTCTGCTTCAGCCCTCACCCCTGCCCTGCTGCATTCACCATTCAGTTCAAACCAGGCCACGGCAGCTCCCTCTGGATAAACCCAACCCCTTTACCAGCAGGTGCTAACCTCCCCCACAGGGAGCCACCTCTCCGAAGCAACACCGCCTCCTGGAAGCCCTCCTTGGCCCTTCTCAGCCCTCCCTGGGTGGCGGGAGCCGAGGTGCGGACGGCACACACCTGGCGCGTGGCGGGCACGGAGAGGTTGAGACCGTCGGTGGAGATGTTGACAGAGACGCTCATGCCCGCGAACCGCAGGTTGCTCTTGCCCAGGACAGACGCCAGCGCCTTGTTGGGGGCCTGCGGGCAGAGCACGGCTGTCTCCACTGCCTCCCACCCCTGCCGCCAGCCGGGTCGGACCACAGCCCCTCGCCCACCTTCTTCTTCCAGGAGCCCCGGACGCCGGGCACTGCCTCGTGGAGCCGGTTGATGGCCTCCCTGTGGGGGAGGAGAGGCGGGACTTAGGGGGCCGGTGGGGAATGGGCGGGTCTGGGGCGGGGCTTAGTGATGGGCAGGGGCGGGGCTTAGAGGGTAGTGGGCGGGGTAAGGACGAGGCTCAAAGAGGAGTGGGCAAGGGAATGGGCGGGGCTGGGGCAGGGCTGAGTGATGGGCAAGGAGGAAGGGGCTTAGAAGAGGAGGGGGCTGGGCGGGGCTACGGAGGCTTTAGTGGTGTCGGGAGAGCGGGGCTTAGAGAGGACTGGGCAGGGGTGAATGGGGCTAGGGCAGGGTCGGAGGGGATAGAGCGGGTCTTGGCGGTGGGTAGGTGGACAAGGCTTAGAGAGGAGTGCACAGGGGATGGGAGGGGCTGGGGAGGGTAGGGGCAGGACTTAGCGAGGAGTGGGAGGGAAAAGGGAGCGGGTAGGGGTGGGGCTTAGTGATAAGTAGGAGGGGCAGGGGGAGGGGAGGGGGGGGGGGAGAGAAGA